TTGCTGGTGGGATTCTGCTGCTCAGGAACCTGCAGTCTCCAGCTGCCTGCCAGATCAACGCCTAACTCCTCTTCTCAACTTCACTCACGGAAATACCCAGTTCCACCTGTCCAACTGCATTTCCTAGCTCAGGTCCCCAGGGACCCTCCACTCCAGGCAGGCTGGATGTCAACCAGCAAACCCACACAGTTCTCTGCTCTCCTAGCTGTGTGACCTTGGCTAAGATATTTACATTTTTCTGTGGCTCAGTTCCCTGAACTCTGAGGCAGGGATCAGGGTAGTGTCTAACTCACAGGGTTGCTGAAAGGAGTGAAGTCAATACGGGTAAAGTGCCTAGAACAGTGCCTGACACACAACAAGCACTTGTTACCAGTTAGCTCCACTGCGTGTAATCATCGGCGCAGATTCATGGAGGGAAAAGAGAGAAATCAGATGCAGATCATTCGTTACCTTTAAACAATTTCTGGATTAGCAGGGTGACGAGTTACTTAGCCACCTGCATGGTGGATGCAGGAGGGACATGGGAAGGTGAGGGAGCTCCTTCCCTTTCCCCATGTTTCTGTCCTGTTTGTCTCTTTACCAGCTCGCTCTCTCAAGACTGCAAAAACCGGTCAGAACTCAATGGTCAGAAACTCACTGACTGGGCCACTTTACAATCATTCAGATCATTATGCCTTAAGATAAGCAAGCATGCATGGCTCTTTTCGGTCCCAGGCAGAGTCTGGCCCCAAGGGCAAGTCAGGTACCATCATCTTTTGTGGCTGGCTGGGTTAAGGCTCAGGATCTGTTCCTCAAACCTGGCCATCTGAGCTGCAGGGAGATGGGAGCGGGAGGCTTCCCTTGGAACCTAACCCCAAGCCAACATCTCACACAGTTCTTTGCTCTTGTTTTTCCCCAGAGAATCCACAGAATGGGTATTTGCCCATAATCAAATCCACTGCGTATTCTATCGTTGTTCAGAATATATAGATTCTGGTTTGAGAAGCTCAAGGGAAAGAGGTGTGGGTACAAGTACCAAGACCCTATCCAGACTCCTGAGTGCTGACAGCCCACAGGTCATGGCAGGGTTAGGAGTGTGCCCTGGGAGAATAGCCTTGTTTATTGGCCCAGGATGGGAGGGGGAGAAAATCAGGGAAGGCTCCCTGAAAGAGGTGGCATTTGAGCCAGGACGGCAAAGATAAACAGTGTAGGCTAAGATAATGAATTCTGAAAACCAGCATAGTTAAAACAACACATAATTTAAATTTAAAAAGTGAGTACATGAAGGGGTGATCAGAGAAAC